GTGTGCGCCACCTCGCCCGGCCATAAAAGTTTTCAATATGTTGTTTTGGTCCTTAAAAATCTCACAGGCCCAAGGTACTGTGCCTGTAGTACTGTACCCTGAAGGAGAAAATGACATCTCACTGGAGGTTCAGGACACTTGGTAAGGGTACAATTTGGGAATCATAGGCCTTGACAGGGTCTCACAGGGAAGGATGCATTCAAACGTACAGCTAATGTGAGAAAAGAGTGAAGGAATGAAAAGAGCTTCAAACCAGGCAGATGTGGGTTCAAATCTCAGGTCCCTTGGTTGGGTGACTTTGGGAGTGTCACTCTGGATTGCTCAACCTCAAAAAAAGTGGAAATTATATCGTCCTACAAAGTGTAGGTCTATGATTTCTTACTACCCTATTCTCTTCCTTATGATGGACAGCACAGGGAATTTCATACCACTTGGAGAGAGGAAGGAGGTTCTTCCAGTTCCTCTTGCATTTCTCCAGCCCATGACTCAAGTTTTCAATGAGTCCTTTTTTCTCAGCACCAACAGTCAGGTGGGTAATATCTGGTATGCATTCGAGCACCTGTAGATTTGGGCAGGACCCTCTAGGCGTGTGAGGCTGATGCTAAGCACAGCGCACCACCGCAGGACTGTTGTCTGGATTTGTTGGTGATGTGTGGAATAATGGCGGGCAAGGTACTGAGTTAGTTACCTGATGATCAAAGTAGGTTTCAGCTGTGTAAGTTCGAAGGCCACTGACTGCCATGGCTGGTGCCTCTTGCTCCTTTTGTCTTCTCTTTCTCCTTTTCTTTCTTCTTAGAACTAGAGAACCATTTCACTGGTCATTTGTTCACTTCTTTATTCCCTAACTCCTAGACTGGCTTAGCGCCCCCACAGCATGCATTATGGCACCCTGTGCTTCTCCAGTTATCCCACGGGTCACGCTGTAGAAATTTTTTTTTGTTTTTGTTTTTTTTTCCGGTACCAGGAATCAAACTCACGACCTTGCGTTTGCTAGGCAGGCCTTGTGCCGCTGAGCTAAATCCCCAGTCCCTATAAATTTCTTTAGAAACTATAAATATTAAACTCTCAAAAGGGGAACCGAGGCATTTGGAGCTCAGGTATAGGGTAGAACAATTTCACAGTTTATTTTTCTATAATCTTTGATCCAAAAATGGGCAGAATGAAATGAATACACACTTCTCAGATGAAGAAATACAAACAGCAAATAAATAGAAGAAAAAATGTTCAACATCACTGGTTAGTCAAGAGGTGCAAAGTAAAACAACACTGAGAATGAATAGAAAACTTTTTTTTTATTATAACAAAGCTATTTTTGAAAATGGTAGAGGCTGAGGATTTAGCTCAGTGGCAAAGTGCCTGCCTGGCAAGCACAAGTTCGGGAGTTTGATTCCTGGTATCGGAAGAAAAATGAAAAAAAAAAAACAAAAAACGAAAATGATAGACATATTGCTTACTTATCAACTTCTTCCACCAGACCCTATGTTCAAAGGGGTAGGGGTCTCATTTGTCTGGTTCATTCTTATATCATCAGGTCTGAGCGTAACTCCTACTTTGATAAATGTGTTTTGGATATGGGTGAATAAACGAATGGGTTTTGTGGCTTCAAGGCAGAGTTAATTGCAGTACAGTCCAACTGCTAGGAGCATTCTGCTGAGCTTGACCCACTCACCACAGTCACCACTGACTTGCTTGTGCTGTGTTTATGCTTTATACACTCTCAGCATCACATTTGGGAGCTTTACATCCTACTGAATTACCAGTACAGTGATTTGGCATTTATTGTCCAAGTACAAGACTGAGCTGACTAATCCTTTATTTTCGCAGAAATGTGGGGCTTTTGACTGATTGAAAAGCCCAATTAATGGGAAAAAATGTTTGCCAGCTGTTCCTCAGACAAAGGATTACTATTGAGAACATACAAAGAACTCAAAGGAATCAGACCTCCCAAATTTAAAGACCCAATCCAAAAATGGACAGAATGAAATGAATACACACTTCTCAGATGAAGAAATACAAACAGCAAATACATACATGAAAAAATGTTCAGGGGCTGGGGACTTAGCTCAGCGGCAAAAGCACCTGCCTGGCAAGTGCAAGGTCGTGAGTTTGGTTCCCGGTACCGGAGAAAAACC